ATGTGAATGTATCTTTCCGTGGTCGGTGGGTAGCAGGGTGTAAGTCTATTTGTTGTTCAGAAATGTTTTTAGAAAGCCAATTAAATTAACAATTGTCTCCAAGGCATATATGGCATTTGAATCGTGCGTCAGGCTTAAATAACACTATAATTCCATGATCATTGTGTTTATTTACTATTTGATGTTTATTTATCGACATTTACTGACAATACATTATAACACCCATAGGTTAAATAGCATATCCAACATTAGCCTATAGGTTATTCCATAGGCGTTGAATAACGGTTACTCATTGGCCCCTGTTGTCAGCCATATTTCTTTACAACGTATTTCAGTCACGTTGGCTATTTATAATTAGTTATATTTATTCACATTTAAAATATAATTTTTTTAATAATTGGAATTGGACATGCACGCGTTTTCTCCGGGTTGGACTGGTTTGATTTGAATGGGTTGACGTCCGTGTATTCGTCTGTAGGCTATCTCCATATCCATTTGTAAAATGAAATTGGAATTGAAAGTAGAAAACCTTCACATTTCTAATTTGGTTATTTGGATTTGGATTTCTGCCATTCCTCTCTAGACAAATGAATGGATACTGCTCAAAATACATTTATTATGAGCAACTTTGACCTAATAACATGTTTTCTTTCATTCAACACGTTGAACATCTTATTCGAGAACCAATACATCCATATTATCTTGGATGTAATTATGGACTTGGACTATTATTAACTATTATTAGCCATTTTGTGGGCTTATCCTTTTATATTGCTAACCAACGGTGGGGGTCGGGGTAACTGACGTTCATATCTGTCGATTGTCACGCGAGGACGGGCAATTTTTAAAGTATTTTATTTGAGGAGTCAAGGGTACACTGGGGATGTGGGCGTTTTCCACTCCTTTCCTTGACAAGCTATAGGCCTACTATGTTCAGTCGTGTTTTTTTGTGTGTGTTTTTTTGCGACTGCTAGGCTATAGGACGCAGGTGTTTCACTGCCAGGGAAGATGGCCGTGTTAGTCTTTTCTCTGTCGATTCGTGCATACAAACAAGCTGTTGAAACAGACTACCGGTACATCTCGTTGAAGCCAGGCAACAAATGTTAGTGTTACATCTTCAACATGCTGTTGATAAACACATGTAGCCAAACCATTGATTATGCATTTATCCTATTTCCTCACTGTAACGCCCGCGATAAATTGGTGGTGACATCGCTTTCAGACGAAACTCAGGACCATCCTCAACTTTTTCTACAAATATGAAACCACCTCTCCTTATGCTAACTGCAATGGGAGAAATGTTGGGGACCATTCAACGCCCGTGCCAATCCTCATTTTCAGAACTGGACAGCGCTGCCTGTCGCTGTTTTTTCCAACAGTGCTGAAACAGACTTGCAGGCTAGAGTCCACAGTTTTTGTGGCTATGGTGTGTGTGAGCGCTGTCTCGTAATGGATGATAGACGATTTGTAAATGCTTCATCAGAATGTTTATGTCAATCGGTCATATAAAGCCCATAAAGCAGTGAAGAAATACGGGTAGTTAGGCCTACTAGTTAATGTAGTTGCCTATTAATAGCAAAAGGCTAATTGTCATGTGTGTGTCTGTATTATGATCAAGCAGAGCATGACAGCTGTTTTTCAAAGGGAATATGAAAATGTTACTGGCTGATAGGCTGATTGTCTTGACAAGGGACGTTTCTTTCGCCCTGTTGGTTGAGGACGTTGCCAATGTGAGTTAGGCCTGCACTGTAAACGAAAAACTGTAATTTATATGGTAATTTTAGGTATTATCAGTAAAATAACTCTGAAACCTTTTACTGCAGCATATTGGAAATTATGGTGCCTTGTGGGAAAATGACTCTATTTCGATTGTTACTGTGCACACCACAGTATACAGTACCGTACTGTATCTTTAGACTGCTAAAAACCTTTGACCACTAGCGGGTGCATGGTATTGTTGATTCTGGCTCATTAACATATTTGGAGGCATATTTGTTGCATCCGCGAGTGAGAATGCCGTACCAATTTAATTTCTATTTGGTTATAGAGTCCCATCAATTTAAACAGAATAGTGGACAGATTGAAGTGGCAGCAAGTCTTGAACCTTAAATGGTTGAGCATTTTGCCAGGTCCTTTTGGTCTGTTTTGCCCTGTAGTCGCTGCCAGTTTGGAAGCCTTTGTTAAGGCCTCTAGAGTCCAAGTGACATAAAACACAAAATAGTCATGAATATGCTGTAATGTGTAAACCCTTTACCTAGCAGCAAACCTGCTTGCACCAATCCCTTGTAATTACAGTAAAATACTGTGAAATACAAACCCCTCCCCTCAATGAATTAATAAATTAATTCATTCCAATCACGGTAGCATTTACTTTTTTACAGCATAATACAGTCAAATTTACGGTATTGTACTGTGTGTCATTACACAGTACTTGCTTTGATACTGTATTTATATTACAGTAGGTGTACTCTAATATGAAATACAGAATTTTAATTGCCACCTAGCTGCCTGTAAGCTACTGTCAAATTCATGGTAACCCCTTTACAGTGTGGTCTTGCCCTGGGTTCCCCCCAAGGCTGCTGTCGACACTCCATTACTCTTATTTCCGAGGATAGCTTACACAATCCATTTCGTCGTGCACTTTCAATATGTTCCCCGTCACAGTGCACACAATCCACCCTCTCCTTTTATCTTGAGGCCCTGAGAAAACAATGGTTGTTGTAGGCAATGTGGGGAATGATGTACAAAACACACAGGGTGAGTTGCCAATAACCGTCCTCGTCCATCGTTCATCTTACTTTTCCTCGCGGCGCAATGACGATGGCCTCTTCCGCGGGGAAGGTGAAAGAGCCTGGGCAGGATTTGGCCTCTAAAAATATAATTGTTGTAAACGAGATGAGAAAGAACACGAGCGACCTCACTAATGACATCACTAACATAATGGAGGCTCCCAGTAAAACACATAAGATTTGGGTAGCATAATGATTAATGTGGCAAAATGACACAAGTGTTTCCAGACAGGGCTTGCTTTGGACTGATAAGCCAGGCAAACGAAAACATCGAGAGTGTACAGAAGGATTTGTAGCCACATTATTAGCTGTGTGTGACGGCCTTAAAGGTTACCTTTATACTGAGTTTTGTCTCACTCTGGTGGAGAAAGTGGGTCACTACAGACAGGAAGCAGCCTCCAGATGTAGTTGAGAAACAAGATTGAAAGTGGTTCATACTCAATGCTGTGCATTAATTACTACCCACTTATCCCTATGATACCCCTATGATACCCCTATGATGATACAATAATGAAAAGGCTACAGAGACTTCAAATTAAATAACAATTTCAGTTTGATACTCACTCTCACATACAGGTAGAGTTATTATGAACACTAGTACTTTCCTAAAGCCATTTATAGTACAGTGTTTGACCCCTGATTGAGGGTGCAGTTACAGTTACACAACTATTGCTCTATGTGGGTGCTGGAAATACTGGCGAGACTCAATAAACGCTGAGTTACTAACACAGCTCAGCTCCATGGTCACATAGTGAGTTACTAACACAGCTCAGCTCCATGGTCCACATAGTGAGTTACTAACACAGCTCAGCTCCATGGTCCACATAGTGAGTTACTAACACAGTTCAGCTCCATGGTCCACATAGTGAGTTACTAACACAGTTCAGCTCCATGGTCACACAGTGAGTTACTAACACAGCTCAGCTCCATGGTCCACATAGTGAGTTACTAACACAGCTCAGCTCCATGGTCCACATAGTGAGTTACTAACACAGCTCAGCTCCATGGTCCACATAGTGAGTTACTAACACAGCTCAGCTCCATGGTCACATAGTGAGTTACTAACACAGCTCAGCTCCATGGTCCACATAGTGAGTTACTAACACAGCTCAGCTCCATGGTCACATAGTGAGTTACTAACACAGCTCAGCTCCATGGTCACATAGTGAGTTACTAACACAGCTTTAGCAGGACTGAAACAGAGCAAAGGGAGCACACAGAGGAAGGACTACCTGGCATTCTCATAATATTTTGGGCCTTTCCAGTGCCATTCCATTTTTTCAAAGACTTTAATCTAGCCTACATTTGGAACTATATGATCAAATAGTCAAGGTTTTGAAAAAAGAACAACTGCAGTGAGCTCATAATGAAAATAAAGAATGCCACATTCATATCATTTGGTGAGAAGTAATGAGTTATTGTACACAGTTGTAGATGGTCAGAATACATGGGCAGAATAGATTGATAGGACCAGACTTGTGGTAATTGCTTCAGGATGTATGATTGTCGTCCATTCGTTTCCCCTTAGAACAGCCCTAAAAATGCCCAGCTGAGGCTTGTAGGTCAGGTTGGTATGTCTGCTGGACATGACAGGCAAAATATATGGGTCATCTTCATGTTTCCTTTAGGAAGATGCCGTTAGGACAGATAGTATGCCAGCCAGTCATTATGATTAGCTTTCTTTCTATTTTTCTATCGTCTTGGTTGTAAAAACATTTGATTCCTGTCTGTAATTAGAGAGAGAGAGCATCATTTATCAATTTATTCAGCTTTTTATTCAGCTTTCAGATGTAGATGCCTTCTTAGGACAGAGAATGCGATGGTTTGGATTCATTAATTCAGAACCTCACTGAATGTATTTCAGTAGTTGGTGTTTGAATGCAGTGGAAAGGTCCGTAAGCACAGCTGATTCGTATCATTGTATTTCATGCTTAGTGGATCATTTTATCTAGGCCCTTGGATCCTGGTGTTTGGTGTTACTGTTCAGTAGTTGTAAACCATTCAGCCTGTTGCTGAGGCTCATTAAAGAGAGGTATTCTGCCTCTTTTTCCCATCATCCAGTCAAGCTGTTGACTTGATACAAACCTATAACGTTGAGATTCTGCCTCAGTGAGTACTGTGATGGTGGATAATTCCAAGCAGCCATGATTTGATAGTAACTTATTTTACTTCTATGTACCAAAGGGATTGGTTTGACTATTTAGTAGATGCATGCATTACTACATGACCATTCTTACATCATTGAAGGTGAATAGACTGACTGACGAGTTGTGTTTGATTGGCAGGTCTGCCCCAGCAGCTGCCGGCGCCCCCCCCGCAGATGGAGCGGCGCCCCCTCCCAACCTCACTAGCAACCGCCGCCTGCAGCAGACACAGGCTCAGGTGGATGAGGTGAGTAACATGCAGACACACTCACCTTGTATTACGCACATACTGACCCACAGAAATATCATAACGTTGCTCACATGTTGTGAATAGTCACAAGCTGACATGGACTGGATGAATGCGTGTCCAACACACTAATGTAAACAATACATTACTGTATGTAACACTGTGGAGCACACACAGCCACTCAGTCTGAGATGATTGAGTGATTCACCCTGTATGTTTTCGGCCCATGTGTCTGCCCTCCCCAGGTGGTGGATATCATGCGTGTAAACGTGGATAAGGTTCTGGAGCGTGATCAGAAGCTGTCAGAGCTGGATGATCGGGCTGATGCCCTGCAGGCTGGAGCCTCACAGTTTGAGACCAGCGCTGCAAAACTCAAGAACAAGTACTGGTGGAAGAATGCCAAGGTAATAGACTGTGATAGATTGTCCTTTGGTCAACATTTATTTATGATAATAGTAGTTCCCTTTGAGGCTTGAAGTATACCTCGTGATTGACCTCATGTTCCATCACCCCTGATTTACTGCCTCTCCATGTCCAACTCTGCTTCCTTCAGATGATGATTATCCTGGGACTGATATGTGCGATTGTCCTCATTGTCATCATCGGTAAGGGTCACACCCACACTCTCCCTGCCATGGCAGTTTGAATGAAGATATACTCTCTGCTTCAATAGTATATTTTTTCTCACCCCCTCTCTCTCTCGCTCTCTCTCTCTCTCTCTCTCTCTCTCTTTTGCTCTCTGTCTCTCTAATTCTCTCTCTCGCCAGTCTACTTCAGCACCTAAGATGAGTGGCTCCTACCCCAGTCTGCAGTCAAGACTGCCCGCTCCCTTGCAACAGAAAATCCTTTAAATTGATGAGAAAATTATCCACTGACGATTAATTTATTAAATTGCTCCCAAATAGTCTCAATATGACCCTGCCCTGAACCCCCTGACCCCCTCAGCCCCTGCTTCCACCGCCTCACCTCTGGACTCCTGTCAATCTTCGTCCTGTAAATCTGTGGCCCCGCCTCCATTGTAAATACTTACCTGCTTTTCTAATCTGTCGTTCATACTCAGAACCCAATACTTGTTGTGATTGTTACCGATGACAACAGAAAGGAAAATGATGACCCTGGTGATAATTGTTATATTCCAGAAATATGTAGAGTTCTTTGTAGAGTTTTATTCTGATATAATGTTTTTGTAGGTTGTGTGTGGGTGTGCGTTTTGTATTTTTTTATTTTTTTTAATTAATTTGACTTATGCTTCAGATTTGAACTACTGCCTATTAATCAGAGTGTGTATATTTTGCACGTTCTCTCTTACTGTTCTCTGCCTGTCTCTGGATTTCTCTGTCTTGCTCTGGCTCACACAGAGTATAGGTGCATCTTTGCACAGTGACATAGTCTCCTTTAACTGAGGTACTTCATCAATATTCCCATCCTCTTCTCCCATCTTTTGCTTCTCTCTCTCTCTCTCTTTCTCTCTCTCTCCTATACCATTTAGCCGTACTGTCTCTTTAGAATCCTTTCACCATTTCTGTTTTTTTTCTGTTCATGTTTCCCTGTCTATCTTTTCCCAGTCATATACCTTCTCTTTTTAAACTGCCATTAGAATTGTACCAATGTCTGGAGATGTTTTTTTTATTTTACTTAGTGTCTTATTTCGAGAACATTCCTTCATGGCAGTCTAGTACAAATGCTGTCAGTGTAGCACATGTATGTGTAAGTATCTTTCAAAAACTGAAAATAGATAACCTGTATAAAGTTATCGTAAATATTATCGCAGATATCAATCTAACAAGCCAGAGTGGGGAAAAGAACAATATTGATAGAAAGGAGGGCATAATAGTTTTTGGTTTGGTGGATCATCATTTTAACCTGTTTAATTTGTTCATTTCAGCAACATAAAATTACATAAAGTTGCTGTGACAATGCACCAATCCTACAGAGGTGTCATGACTAACACACACTAAGTAATCACAATGACACAGTGAAGCCTTAGTCTCTGATCAAAATATATCACATTAATGGTCAAAACATTCCCATACACTCTTTATTTTGTGTAGGGGGTGGCTGACTGAAAAGAGGTAGGCGGTGTGAAATGCACAAAGAACTTTGTTTTTGATGGCGCTGTCTGACTGGTCAACAGAATGACCGGCCGAGATAGAACCTCATGCAGCAAAACCTCACCTATTGATGTGCACATACACAGACAACTCAGCCTTATTTGAAAGTGAAGTTACAATTATTAAGATGGATGAAGCAATTGGCATGGACACACAGTAGTAGAAAAAAGATGATCTAGAGAACGGGACTAACTTGGCCCATGGGTGCCAGCTTCATAGACAGATTCAGAGTTGCTGTAAAACTGAAGTGAACATTCCTAGAAATGTAATGAAAAACCATCTTAACATTCCCAACACACAAGATAGAGTGAGCGTTTAGCTAGTGCTGTGGTTCTCTCTCTTTCTTACATTTCCTCCCTAGTTACTGCCTTTTTCTTTTTTAAACATAGTAATAAAGTCTATTTTATATAGTATATTTTTGTGTTTGTGTGAAGCTGAGAGGTAAAGAGGAGACTGAACTCAATCAGGGCTTCACTAACTGATACGAGCAGTGAGCTCCTCTCTACCTCTGCGTTGTGTGTGTACGTGTCTTTTTTCGGTTCAGCTCTGTAAGATTAACACTGCCAAGTAACTAGGGAGAGGCTTTTATTTTCTGTTATTTTCTCATTGGTGCCCTTAATGGTATGGTCTAAGTGGATTGCTCTTGCATGGTCACCTCTTGTCCCATGCCCCTGTATATGCCTACCAGTTGCTAGTGCTATCTATCTGCCAGCTCTGTTAGTCTACTTTATGAGTAGTAACAGAAAGACCCCTGGAACTGTGGGATACACAGTTGTTCCCATAGGTTGTGCCACTTCAACATGACCTCTTGCCCTCTGTTCCACCGGATCTGCATACTTCCTACATCCTCCTGTTTCTCCTCCGTTCCCAGCTCCCCCCACACTGATTCAGGATCCTACACTGTGAGTGTGTGTGTGAGTGTGTGTTGGTAAAACTCTTGACAGATTAGGCCGCTTAGACCTCACAGATGTGGACCAGCTGTTTCCATGACAACTAAATTAGATGAGCAGAGTGGGGAGGTAACAGATTAGCCCACTGACTGTCTTTCAGACGGGTCAGGTTTGCCATTTTGCCAGGTATGCTCAAGGAATATTCCTATGCTACATGTACACTGACAGAGCCCCCCCAACCACCCATCACATTATGAATAAACAACAAATATTATCTGGCGCGATGGCCCACACGAAAACACCCCGGAGAGGAAGGAGAGAGCGAGCGCGGAGCGAGAGAGCGTAGAGCGCAGCGAGGGGAGTGAGAGAGAGCGAGGAGTGCGAGAGAGCCAGAGCAGCGAGACGCGAGAGAGAGAGAGAGAGGAGAGACTATAGCTCTAGAGAATAGAGGAGAGGATCTCTGAGAGCTGCTCCGATCTCTCTCTCTCTCTCCTCTAGCTTCTCTCTCTCTCTTCTCTCGCTCTCTCTCTCTCTCTCTCTCTCTCTCTCTCTCTCTCTCTCTCTATCACACACAAGTTAAAGGAAATGGCCTTATCCATTATATCCCTGTAAAGCATATTCTCCACCCTACCCCTTTATTCCATTTAAGTAGAGCAAACTAATTCAGAGGAAAATTACCAAAGACCAGATTTTCTTGCTTGGGCTGCCAACTGCCATCAAAAACAAGTAGAGTAACACAACATATTTTACCCGTGTCACTTTAAAAGCAATGGTACTGGTACCTGTTTTTGAAAGCTTACCCTTAACCCAAAATACCTAGTCAAATGACCTTTTAACCCTTTCAGATCTTAGTTAGTATGTCATACCGGCAAATAGATGGTGACATTATGTGCTATTTGAAGATATGCAAGAGAAACCAAATCTAAGTAAAACGTGCTTCAGCCCCCTTCCCCCACCATAAAACTACTTTAATCTATACCAAGTCTTTAGACACATGCTCCTATAACTAATAATAGCACAACTCCTCTTTTTTGTGTCTCTGTCGTTCTGACAACAATTTAAAGATAAAAAATATGAACTTTATCTAAAGCTGTTAAACAAAACAAACAAAACATGTATAAAAAAAAGTCTGTATTGTCTGGTGTTGCATTGTGGGGGTGTATTTGGGGGAAGGGGGTTCCTATTTCCTCAGGTCGGAGATTTTAACAGTTAATCAAAATCTACAAGGTGAGGACAAAAAACTACATGAAAGCTATATAAACATTTGAATAGCAAATAATTACAATTTCGAGTTATTATTGTCTCAGTGGATTGGAGTGACATGACACTATGGGTCGGGGTAGGACTGCTGTGTTGTTCACAAATCCAAGGGTTGTCCTAAGAGTGCTCAGTAAATTTGGATACAAAGATAGACAAATTGATGTTATGTGAGTGCTCATTTTCTGTTGCTTTTTTTCTCCGTGAGGAAGGGTCTGCACAACTTTTAATGTCCTGGCACTTTTTTCTGTTGTATTCTGGGTGTATTTTGCAGGGCTAGGATATGATGTGGATGAGAATATTGTGTTATTGCCAACCCTAAGAGGTGTTCAGTGACTTCAACATAGGAGGGAACCTTTTGAGGCACTGGACCTTCACAGGTTGGCTATAAAATCACAATGCTCTCACCAATACAAAATGTCGGACCCTATGTTTTCTTTGTAATTTGCATAAAGTTAGTAATAACTTTGGTGTGATGTCATTGGCTTAGGTTGTGTGTACATTGGAAGAGGGGGGAAAGATGAACTATGTTTATTTTTGTTTGAACTGTTCATTTTGGGGAGGGAATATTATTTTGTTATTTGGGGACTGGGGTTGGGGAAGTGACAGTCAACATTACCTCTGTTTGCCTGGCCTTTCAGGAGGGAATAGACTGGGGGATCATGGGTAATGTGTTCTGTTCAGTCTGTTTTATTTAATTTATTGTGTTTTAGTTTTGAATGGGATTGGATATTAAACAAGGTGGATTACAATGTACAGAGGAAACCAATTGAAAACCAGAAGTACATAAAACACAATTGTAGTGTAAATCTATCAATATCTTATTATATTGATGAACATCATGGAAATATATATATATATATATATATATATATATATATATTGGAAAACCAATCATTCTGATGACCTGTGTTTATTGTTCAGAGTTAGCAATTCCCAGCGTGTGTGTGCGTGTGTTTGAAAATAATGAGGAAATTAAATAAAATCTATGATAAAATGGGTCCAAATACAATTGATAATTGTACAACTGTGTTGCAAACCAGATATATTCATTGACTATATATGTCACCAAGACAGGATGGTATATCTCACTTGAATTTGAGCTAGAAAGAGATGAATCACACACCAAAAACATGAACCTAAAATAACTATAAGTTGTCTTCACAAAATATTTTTGCAGACAGCCATCACGTAGCTTTCATGGAATGTATGGATCAAACACATAATCTCGCACCTATTTAGGGTTTCATCATCCTGGAGAGAAGATGTGGATTTTACAATTATATTTAGGCTAGCTAGGGTTACTATGGGAAAGTGCCCATCCATGTTAGTCAAGAAAACATTTGTTGAGTGTTCAGATCACCAACATTGTGAATTCACTCCAAAAAGAAGGAACCAAGGGCCAAGTTAGAAGAACACTGTGTGGACTGTACACTCATATGAAGTTGTATGTAATTGAAATGGGCACAGCACATTCATAGAATTATTATAACACAGATTTCTACACTTTTGCCATAGGAATTATAGGTTTGAGTCAACATTTCATTGGTTTGACATTAGTGTTTAGGTATGTCCCCTCACAATGCCTAGAGAGGGAAAATGTAGTCTTGTCAGGCGAAGGCCTCAGCAGGGGTGTATTCATTACGGAAACCGTTTACCGTTTAAGAACGAAATGGTCCATCCCTGTTTTATTTCCATTTGCTTCTGTTTAAAGGTGCAATATGCAGAAATCGGTACACCATTTCCTGGTTGCTAAAATTCTAAAAGTTCCCTTAATTTCAGTTTATGTGACAAAACAAGCAAATGTAGATAATCATTGTACCATCTAAACCACTGTGAAATATATTTTCAATAACCATAAATATTGCATTTCAGCTGTTTGAAGCTGGTGTACAAAAGCCAAAGGAAAAGATGCAAAAACGAAACTTAACAACGGGAAGCATAGAAATAGTGCACATAGAACAGATCTACCGTTTCTTAGACATGGTTTCAATGAGAATGACAGATCTATAACTCACATTTCTATGTGAATTTGATAGGGTCGCCTGCAAAAGTTACATATTGCAGCCTTAAGAATCTTTTTGCAACAGAATCGGCTGAATGAATACACCCCAGGTAGGCAGGTCCAAACAGTCAGTAGCACCACCCAGTGGATGTTTACTTTTACAATTACTTCACTGATTTGTGAATGCATGTCACCCCATGTGTCACCCCCCATAGCTGCACCACATGACACATGTTGATGGTTTTACTGCCTTAGAGAGGTGAGATGAAATGAGATTACATTTTAATGCCCAAAGGGAAATTTTAACAATATAAAGAATTAAGATACCATAAGGATCTAGAAACAATTAGAATCTGAAAACAATTCAAGGGGATGGACTGACTGACACTGTATTTCATTTAATAATGGCTCTTAAAGCTAGAATCCTTAGTTGCTACATCCATTTTTGGACTTATAAATTAATGTTACCCATTGATTCTTGAAGAAAATAATGTATAAATGCGTCATGAGCTTAGTTCAACTTTCATACCCCATCAGAACCCAAAATATAAGCTTGTTTTACTCCAATGTTTATAAACAATGTAAATGTAAACAAACACTGTATAACCTCAAAACATGGTTAAACATGGCTTTTTTTTTTTTCTTCATAGATGGTCAGTCCTTGCATCCATAGCTCTGTCTATGAATTTGAGAGTGGTTACATTTCTCCAGGCCCATCCCGCAGCTTTTTACCAAAACAGAGGCAGGGTTTAATAGTGCTTTGTTATTGTTTCAATTAAGGACATAACTTTAATAGTAGGCTAGTGTTATCAGTGGGGTGGGGGTTCCTCCTCTGGCAGTAGTGTAGACTTTTGGAGAAGAAAGGATTTATGTTTGTGAAAAGGCTAGTCACACTGCTGCAGTAGCATTTGTATGCTCATTTAGTCGGCCTATGGATAACATACAGTATGTCTGGAATTGAGTTAAAATGTGTCCTATCAACTTAGTCCCAATTTCCATGCATCTTTTCCTTTATTATTACCTGTAGAAACAATTTGATATAAAGAAACCCTTAAAATTATTCACATGCATGTGTTGTGGTTAAGTAAAGTACACAAGGAAAGGATGAGGTGAGGAAATGACGCCAAATCAGAGTATTGACAGAGGCACGTTGCCAACAAATGTTCTAGCATGCTTTTGGAACTGACAGGGCACCGCTGGGGCAACGTGATAGAAAAGCAGAGCCCCGTGTAGTCAAGACACCGCCATACTCAACCAATGAATGCATTCGCCGGGCCTTGGGACACAGCACTAGGGCGGAGTCGGTGTCAGTTGAGGACCAATCACTGCAACACATGGGAGCAAACAAGGGGCGTAAGCACGTGTTCTTTTGCGTGTTCCCTCCCAGTCATATAAAGGGAATGTGCTGTTCTGTACACATTTTGTGTAGTTACAGGTGATCAACATTGAGATGTTTCACAATTTTCAATCATTTTAAACCTAACTTTACTGAATACATTGTTGAAGACAAAAATATATATAATCCCACGGAACGTACTTTTTCTTCATGGAAAAAGGTGAGAATGTCAACTTTGATCAAGACCTAGCCAGCTAACTGGTAAAAAGTAACGTTACCGTGCTAGCTAGGTTACTAGCTAACTATTTAACTTTACTTGCCAGCTAGCAAACTAGCTAGTAGTACAAGCAATAGTTGCTACATAGCTAATTTAGCTAGCTATTTTGGTTATGTTTATGTTTTTTTATGATCAAGCTATCAGCAACAGCACTGACATTGGCAAGTGTAGCTAGCATTGTTGTGGCATGCATGGCAAGAGTGTACTGTAACGTTAAAGGGATTGATGTTGTGTACCAATACACATTTACATATACGGTCAGATACCAAGGTACAGTTTAATGTTGTTTTGGTTCAGTTCGCGTTTCCTACAAGTGAGACTCATCTTTTGCCAGACTTGTGTCAGGTAGAATAAATGCATGAGCGCATGCCGGTTGTCTAGTTGAGGCATGTTACCTTCACTGTCATCAACACAAACACCCCCCACCGGTGTCTTCCTTCCCACGTTGTCTTCTGTCGTCAACAATAATATCCCACAACGGTGTCTTCCTGCTACTTACAGTAAATCCTCAAGACATGCCAGATAGTGAAATGGACTATAAAGTTAGTTTATTTAGCCTATATGTTACCTGTTATCGTCGGTTAACTGTTCTTCAAAGTGATGAAATTATTTATTATGGTCAATGGAATATATGGAGAGCAAGTTTTGAGCCCCCACAAAATGAATGTGAGGTTGGTGGAAAAAGGATAGTTCCCCCTAGCTAGCTATATTATTTGAATGTCTTCTTAGATTGAAATTAGGCTATGGACACCTTTTTGAGTTTGTTTGGAGCATTCCCACCAACTGCTAACATTATTATTTTTGCAATTAGTTAAATCCTTACTTAAAAAGTCCTTACTTGGATGCTCATATGACCTTAGATTACTTCAAATCCAGCCATTTAGTTATGTACATTTGTAGTTTGGGTGAACAATTACTTTCACAGTAGTGTGATTTTATTGATGTTTAATTGCAGATGAGATGTGCTACTGTCTTTACACAGAGGTATGACTCATGATGTCTTGTTACTCACCACTCATGATTGTGAATTGTTTCTTCCAGCAGGTATTTTGTCAAAACCATTTCGCACACTGACTGTGTGCACATGAGGAAGAGCAAACTGATAAAGGTCTCACACATATTCTCTTCAATTGGCTTATCAGATTCATAAACTTTGAATTTTTTTTGGTCAATTCTATCTCAAGATCAATGAGACACAGTCCAAACTTTTTATCTTCTGGCTAATTTTTACTTTACCAAACCATGACTCTATCTAAGTCTAGTAGCCCCACCTAGTAGCAGTATTACTATCACAGTTTTTTTGTTTTGACAGATAATTTTTGTCAAACAGCAATAGTAAATCACTCATACTGGTTATTATGAGTGATGAGAATGCATACACCACTTCTGGAAATGACACTAGTGGAGTAGGTGTAGCAGAAGATGTGGTGGGACTCAAGGCGGGCTGCCAGTCCCCTGAGTCTGGACTGAGTCAGACTGGCAGCTCTGGTAGCTCCAATGGAAAGAGAACTCGGTCTGGGGGCAAGTCCTCCCCCAAGTCCTCAAACTCTGATGACACCGATGCCCACTCGAGCGGGAACGACTCAGCCGAGAGAGAGGTGGAAGGTCACATGGGGCGCGAGGCATCAACCTGCAGCAGCGCCCATAACGGGCAGGACTCTGCCATAGAGACAAAAGAGAGCAAAAGGTAACACATTTAACAGAATACATATTTGAAACACCACTCCATTTTCAGATGGTAGCCAGGAGAATCAATGGGTATCATTTTTATACTATGAAAATGTCTGCTCAGCAGTGATAATAACTTCATGTTATTTTGCCCCTGTCAGCTCCAACTCCCACAGCCCTTCCCCTCCCAACAGCTCTATGGTCTACAGCCTGCTGAGTGGCAGCTCGGAGCAGGACCACCCGTCCACCAGCGGCTGCAGCAGTGACCAGCCGGCCCGGCTGCAGACCCAGAGAGAGCTGCTCAAGGCCCTGAAGGAGCTAAAGATCCGCATGCCTGCAGACCACCGGGTGAAAGGCCGCTCCAGTACCCTGGCCTCCCTGCAGTATGCACTCAACTGTGTCAAACAAGTCCGAGGTAAGATGCAGCCTTTTGATCCTGCCTTTTGCTAGATGTACTGTATACTGTAAGGCTTTAGCATGAAATAGCAAGCTTACTATCCATCTATACTATTTATACTAATGTGTGTGTGTGTTTAGCGAATCAGGAGTATTATCACCAGTGGAGTGTGGAGGAGAGCCACGGTTGCAGTCTGGACCTCTCAGTCTTCACCACAGAGGAACTGGACAACATCACCTCTGAATACACACTCCAGAATACGGTAGGAACTAGAGCACAATCTTAATCTACTAGAACCAGACCCACAGCTCTCAAACAGACCAACGGCTCTCAAACAGACTAAAAGCTTTTAAACCCAACTGAACATTGTTCTGACCTCCCTTGTTTCTTCTCTCTCCTGTAATAGGACACGTTCTCTGTGGGAGTGTCGTTCCTCTCTGGGAAGGTGGTGTACATCTCCCCCCAGGCCTCTCCCATGCTGCGCACTAAGCCTAATCGACTCCAGGGGGCACTCTTCTCTGAGCTGTTGGCCCCCCAGGACGTCAGCACTTTCTACAGCAGCACCGCTCCCTGTCGCCTGCCCCCCTGGGCCTCCTGTACTGGCTCCAGTAAGACTCCTACAGAAGTCCTTTAATTTAGCTCTGAATTCACATTGAAATGGATGATCAAATTTTTACATGTGTATGTGATATAAATATTGCTGTGGTGTTAATGTCCCCCCCCCTCTATATCTCCCTCAGTGACCTCCCCTGTGGACTGCACCCAGGAGAAATCCATGTTCTGCCGTATCAGTGGTGGGAGGGACAGCGAGGGGGAGGTGCGGTACTACCCCTTCCGTATGACCCCCTACCAGCTAACCCTACGTGACTCCGACATGACCCAGGCACAGCCCTGCTGCCTGCTCATTGCTGAGAAGGTGCACTCAGGATACGAAGCTCCACGTATCCCAGCGGACAAGAGGATTTTTAACACTAGCCACACCCCCAGCTGTCTCTTTCAGGAAGTGGATGAAAGAGCTGTGCCGTTGCTAGGCTACCTGCCCCAGGACCTGGTTGGGACTCCTGTCCTCATGTACCTCCACCCTGATGACAGGCCTGTCATGGTGGCCATACACAAGAAGAGTGAGTACTTCTGTCCAACAGTCATGCCTTATACATTCTGTAAGGATTTAGAAACGGGCAAATGGATGATTGGTTATGTACTTATACTCTATCATAGTTTTAACATCTTTGGTTCTCCCCTCAGTTCTCCAGTCGGCGGGGCAGCCCTTTGAACACTCGCCCCTGCGTATGTGTGCCCGGAACGGGGAGTATCTCACCATAGATACCAGCTGGTCCTCCTTCGTCAACCCCTGGAGCCGCAAAGTGGCCTTCATCGTGGGTCGACACAAAGTCAGAACGTGAGTAGTTAACCTCTCTGCTACGTCGATGACCTTCACAAGCTTGCAAAAGCCACATTTGAACTGATCTGTAACCTATTTGTGTAGCTATCAAGTAGTACAAATTGCCTTGTTCTAAACCCCATTCCCTTGTCCTTCTCCCCTCATCTACAGGAGTCCCCTGAACGAGGATGTGTTCACTCCTAGTATGGAGGTGGAGGCGCGGGCCATGTCTCCAGAGATCCCCAGGCTCAGTGAGCAAATCCACCGTGTGCTGGTGCAGCCCGTCCACAGTGGTGGCTCCCAGGGCTACTGCAGCTCCCACGGATCCCAGCCACACAGGCCTAGCCCGGGCTCCTCCTCAGGCAGCAGCAGCCCCTCCACCAAGGGGATCATCCAGATGACCATCCAGAGACCAGTGAGTACTAACACAATTACAGATGTTTTACACATATAAGGTACTTTATAGTTCGTAAACAAGGTAACTTGTAGTTTGTTACTATAACCACAGTATTTGAATTAGTGGAATTGACTCAGAAGAAAGTTGAAGGGTCATCATCTAACTCTTTACCCTCTCTTACCTGTCCACAGCAGCAGATGACATTCCAGCAGATGTGTAAGGACGTCCACATGGTGAAGACCAATGGTCAGCAGGTCTTCATCGAGTCCCGCAACCGCCCACCGCTCCGCAAACACGCCAGCACTGGTAAACACTTGACATTTCACTACAAATATGATAAGATTCTTGTCACGGTGTGCTATAAAACGTCTGAAACGTCTTCATTACAAAAGTATAACCACATAAGTGTCGAGATGATAATGCAATTCTAATGGTACTTCCTTTTCCTCTTCTCAGGAGCCTTGGTGATGCCAGAGCATTTAAACAAAGACTTGGGACCTATTGGAGCTCTGGGGCCAATTAAAACCTTGGCCTCAGTGCAGTCAAGGAAAGACCCGTCAGCCAACTACTCCTACCAGCAGATCAACTGTCTGGACAGCATCGTACGCTACTTGGAGAGCTGCAACGTCCCCAACACAGTGAAGAGGAAATGTGGCTCCTCCTCCTGCACCACATCATCAACGTCAGACGATGACAAGCAGAGGGAGTTGTCTGGAACAGCTAAAGGTACACAATACAGATCCTATTGAAACACATAAAATTATGTATTTTTGATGCCTTTTAATGTCTGCAGGTATTTTGGACTAAATGTTTAACTGTGTTTCCCTACCGATCTCGAAGGGCCCCAGGGTAAGGAAGGGTCTAAAGGGGGGCCACAGATGAGCCCTCTGGCACTGCACTGCAAGGCTGAGAGTGTGGTCTCTCTCACGTCCCAATGCAGCTTCAGCAGCACCATCGTCCATGTAGGGGACAAGAAGCCCCCAGAGTCAGGTAGGACACATCCCTGTGTTGTCTGACTGACTGTTCCTTTACCTCCCTCTCTCTTCTCTCTAATATATCGTCAACCTTATTCCCTGCAGATATTATCATGATGGAGGAGACACCAGCCAACCCCACTCCCACCGCTCCAGCCCCAGCCATTAACAACACCATCACCACGGCAGTGACCCCCCGTCCCTCGACCTTTCCCAGCCCAGCAACACCCAGCCCCGCCCAGCCCAAGAGGGATGGCCGCAGGTCGGCTGGATGCTCAGGCCGCCTGGGTCTGACCAAGGAGGTGCTGTCTGCCCACACCCAGCAGGAGGAACAGGTGTTCCTGAGCCGCTTCAGGGACCTGGGACAGCTACGCATGCTGGACACTGTTCCTCCTTCTCTGAGAGGACACACCACCACACCCAAAGGTAAGATGGACACTTCAAGTGGAGATTTAGCTTCTATTATGACTGAAAGATGATGTGGATGAGAATCCATCGTTTTTCCATGCAGCTCACCCGTGTTGTCTCTCTGTCTGTGTGTGTGTGTGTGTGTGTGTGTGTCAGGAGTGCGCAGCTCGCAGGACTATCCAGCAGGCGGTAACAGACGGAGGAGGGGCCGGGGGACCAAGAGGCTGAAGCACCAGCAGGAGGGCTCCCACGGGGGCCGCCCCCAGATGAGCTCAGGGATGAACAGTAGTTCCAGAAGGGAAGGGCAGGGGCACCAAGGCCAAATGTTCCCCATGGGTCAACCGCTAATGATGCAGGGACCCCTGACCTCGTCCTCTTCCTGGCCCACCTCTGTGGCCTCTCAGGCCAGCCTCCCTCCTGCCGTGGCCCAGTACCCTCCAGGAGTCCTGCCCTTCTTCCCCCTCTACCCCAACGCCATACAGATGGGTTACCCCAGCCCCCAGCCAGGCTTCCAGTACCCCCTGCATGCCAATCAGATCCCCATGCCAATGGCTCCCCCGATGATGGTTGTTCTGCCCAACTACATGTTCCCTCAACTCAATGGAGGTGTACCACAGCTCAACCAGCTCAATCCAGCCATGCCTCACCTTAACCCCAGTATCCCTGGTATGGCACAACTTAACCAGGCACTACCGCAGTTCAACCAGGCTATTCCACTACCACAACTCAATCCTGTCTTGGCTCAGTTCAACCCCGCTGTGACGCAGATGAATGGCATGCCTCATGTGAATCCCGCCCTAGCTCAACTCAACTCGTCACAGGTCAATCCTGCTTTGTCGATGATCCCACAACATTTCCATAATCCCAACCCAACATTACCTTTCCCAAATCCGGTTCCCGGGCTTCCTGGCTTTGCCTTACCTGGGATTGATCCCACGTTTGTCCAAAGCGGCAACTCCCGCTCCCACACCCCTCAGTCCCCGTACCAAGCCCCACTGGAGGGAACCAACTCGCCCCTCTTCCAATCACGATGCTCCTCCCCCCTCAACCTGCTGCAGCTGGAGGAGTTGCCAGGCAACAGGCAGGAGGGCATGTCGACAGGGGCGCAGCAGACCCCGCCCCCACCTGGCTCGTCGTCTCAGGTTGGAGGTCAAGGCTCTGTTTACCGCAACAGCAACATGAAGGGTGACGCCAAAGAGGACGATAATGTGAGTTTTAAACTATGCAATCCATTTTTTAAATGTAATTCAGAAAATATTTTGAGTCTAGTGAGTTCTTGTCATTAACTGCTGTCCTGTGTTGTACCCTTCCGCCAGGCTGATGTTGATGACCAGGACGCCATGTCCACCTCCAGTGACCTGCTGGATCTGCTGCTGCAAGAGGACGCCTGCTCAGGCACCGGCTCGGCTGCCTCTGGCTCCGGGTCCTCTGGCTCCGGGTCCTCAGGTTCTGGCTCTAATGGATGCAGCACCTCAGGGAGTGGCACAAGTGAGTTTGTAACACCGCCAGATACTTTTTCTTAGCACTGTGATGGTAAAGGATGTTTGTGTATAGTGACTGATATGTTATGAAACTAACTGAACATGTTCCTTTTTCAACCACAGGAAGCAGCAACACCAGCAAGTACTTTGGCAGCATTGACTCATCGGAGAACGACCATAAGCAGGCAACAGGCGGGGCTGAAGAGGCCCAGCTCATGAAGTATGTCCTTCAGGACCCTATCTGGCTCCTTATGGCCAACACAGACGACAAGGTTATGATGACGTACCAAATGCCCACCAGGTAAGAAATCGTCATGGTCACTGCACTTCACTCTTGTCATTGAAATTGTAGTCATAGTTACATTTACCAGTCATGATTAGTAATAAATGCTACAGCTATTTAATTGTATTTATGATTGATGATGTGCATGGAATGCAAGTAGTATATTTGAATATTATTTATCAATGCAGACTATGAAAAGGACAAAAATGTGACTATGAAAAATAGAAACGCTCCACACACCATTATGCTCCTAATACCACATTTTAGTCTATGGCATATCTATGGACATGTGAAAGAGTATTGGTGTGTGTGATTTTTAAAGGGACAGGGAGACTGTTCTAAGGGAGGATCGTATGGTACTGAGGGCGGTGCAGAAACAGCAGCCGTGCTTCACTGAGGAGCAGAAGAAAGAGCTGATCCAGGTCCAGCCCTGGATGGGCACCGGACGCCTGCCACAGGCCATCAACACCCCTGTAAGTCAGCACACAGACACATGCTGTAGCTAGTAGCTATACCCCGCCTCTCTCAGTCCCCAAAGATTCACAGGAATCAGTATAGATGACAGTGGAGAGTAATAAAATGTACTTGTAAAGGATGTTTATTAATCTCTTGTCCCTCTGCTTGTGTTTAGACTTGTACCGGGTGCGGTGCTCCTCCAGTTACCTCCGCCCCCCGGCCCTTTGATGTGGAGCTGCAGGACATGGCTCTGACTGGGGTCCTCCAGCTACAGGAAGAGGCTACCGTACACGCAGAGACACATGTTACCATGGCAACAGACGCAAGACATACTTCCATCTCACCACCACAAGCCCCCCAGACAGAGACTAAGGGGGGTGAGGGTGAGAGGCAAGGGGAACAGGAAGGAGATTGTAGGGACACCAGAGTGAAGGAGTTGGAGGTGACATCATCATCTGTAACAGAGAAATGGGACTCTGTGTTTCTAAACAGCAACTGAGGACTTCTATATGGCCAATGACTCTAAACCACAATGCATTGGGACAAATGGGTGGCCAAGCTCACGTCAATGTGTTGTTTGAACAAAGACGTGAACATAAGGAGTCAAAGAATACCTGATCCTGTTTAAACACATGGATTGTGTAGCTCAATGTATATGGAATCTAAGAAGGTGTAAATATTGTATGTATTTCAAATTTAAGCTGGAAAGAGAAGCCCTTGGTAAATGTTTTATTGGCATGTTTGGTGCCTGGTCCGCTGGACTGAAGACATGTTCCATTTGTAATTCACTGCTTTGGGGTTTTCCTCCCCTGTAGTGACAATTTGATAGTTTACAAGTTATTGCGTGTATCAACGCAATATAATTTAATTGTCCAATGTCCATATTGGAAAATGATGTCAAATCTATCGTAAAAAAACAATGAAAAAAACGAAATTCATGTTGAAAAATATATTTGGTAGAATACGAGCTATTGTACAGTGTGTTTATTTCTGTATACCAACCAAGAGCAGGCATACTACTGTTTTTTGTGGGCTGTTCTGTCATGTAATGTTCTGAATGGTTCATTTTTTGGGGTTATATAATTGTACACTGCAATGCTTGTAAAAATATGTAAGGTTTTAAGCTTTATTGGGCAAACGTCCTGACTATTTTATCTCCTCCAGAGAATTACACATTTTCGAAAGACCATGTTAAAAGAAATACCTTGTTATTTATTTGCATCGCTCTGGGTATTTCTGTACAAAAAGTATCTTCGATTTGGCAGGAGCAGAGATGTGTGTTTCCATGGTAACAGAACAGATGGAGCCAGTCTTGTTGATTGGACCATACAATGAGAGTGGAGAGGAGAGAGGAGTAGGGCTGACTGAGCTTTACAAGAGCAGGCCTTGATCATGCAGAGTTGGTCAAGGCCAATATGTTCTATCATGTCTGCTGCCCCTTATTCCCTCTCCTTTTCTCCATTTCATTAATGTAAATAAAAGGATTTGATAGACACTATTATTACATTTCTTTGGGGGATTTTGGTATGTAATTAATATAAAAAAAGAAATATAATTTGGTTCTGGTTTCTTTTTGTCTATGTATTTTGTGGTGTGTAGGATGTGAGCGTAGCTAAAACCTAGTCATGTATTCTGCTTTTACCTTCTATGCCACTAGAGGGTGTTGTGACAGATTGTCTTAGGCTCATTTCAAGGGCAGCAGCCTGATGGGTGATGCAAAATGGAGTTTCTGAAGTTGGCTACGGTGGTTGAACTAGGTATTTGAACACATTGAAGTAATTTTAAGATGCCACAAATATATCCCTTTTCCCTAAGAGTTTTTTTGTGTCCACCTCCCAGGTCCTCCACAGCTTGTTAGAGGGAGCATCCCTGACCCTTTCAGCAGGCCACACTCCAATGTGCCAGTCCTCAGTAGTATTGACATGGGTCAAAATAATTCCTGGAATCTTCCAATCTCCAAATCCACAGGTTAGGTTCAACAGGAAGTGTGACCTCGAGCAGCTTGGGTCTTAGGTCAGATAAACCCAGTGTGGTGGCTGTGAGGGGTTCCGCTAGGACTAACAAACAGCCACAAGACCTCACCTCTTCAATCAAATCGTCTGCATTCTCCCTTTCTGGAGTTGCAAAACAGAGTTCAAAGTGTTTCTGAACATTCCACTGTCTTTTCCATGTGCAGGGAGGGACTGAGCACTGCTGGACACCGGCCCAGTGAGGAGGCAGAGGGACTTTTCTTTTACTGGCACTCTCACCTCCACCCACGGATGGACTCATGGCCAAATGGTTAGGGCATTGCGCAAGTCAATTGTACTTTCAACAGATGCCAGACTGTTCACCAGTAGGCTATAGAACAGAGACTTCAATGATTGTCTATTTCGTTGAGCCTATGAGTAGAGTCCCCTAGAAAACCTTACCTATACGCTAGAATGCACTCATGTTAATCTCGCTTGAAAACCATATCAAATATCGAGCCTTTTATTTCAATATTTGCTTGGTTTGCTATTATCTGTTATGCAGTAGAGCAGTGGTATTCAAACTTTTTCAGCGCGGACCCCATTTTTTCCAACAGAATTTCCTGGGTACCCCATTTTCCCCCCAAGAGTTTCTTGTGATCCCACCTCAAATCTAAGGACACAACCTTAAAATCTGTAAATTTCGATTTTTACATCAACAGATAACCTTCAATTCATTGCATTTCCATCTCTTATCAAAATGAAAAGAAATCAATAAATACATAAAATTATTCCACATTTTGTTGTTATAGCCTGAATTCAAAATGGATTAAATAGATTTAATGACAAAGTGAACACTTTTATTTTTGTACTTTTGCAAATTGATTGAAAATGAAATACAGAAATATCTCATTTACATAAGTATTCACACCACTGAGTCAATACTTTGTAGAAGCACCTTTGGCAGTGATTACAGCTGTGAGTCTTTCTGGGTAAATCTCTAAGAGCTTTCCACACCTGGATTGTGCAACATTTGCCCATTATTCTTTTCAAAATTCTTCAAGCTCTGTCAAATTGGTTGTTGATTATTGCTAGACAACCATTTTCAGGTCTTGTCAAGTAGATTCAAGTCAGAACTGTAACTCGGCCACTCAGGAACATTCACTTTCTTCTTGGTAAGCAACTCCAGTGTAGATTTGGCCTTGTGTTTTAGGTTATTGTCCTGCTAAAAGGTTAATTCATCTCCCAGTGTCTGGTGGAAAGCAGACTGAACCAGGTTTTCCTCTAGGATTTTTTGCTGTGCTTAGCTCCATTCCCTTCCTTTTTTATCCTGAAAAACTCCCCAGTCCTTAACAATTACAAGCATACCCATTACATGATGCAGCCACCACTTTGCTTGAAAATATGGAGAGTGGTACTCAGTAATGTGTTGAATTGGATTTGCCCCACTCATAACACTTTGTATTTAGGACAACAAGTTAATTGTTTTGCAACAGGATGCATGTTTTGGAATATTTTTTATTCTGTACAGGTTTCCTTCTTTTCACTCTGTCAGTTAGGTTAGTATTGTGGAGTAACTACAATGTTGTTGATCCATCCTCAGTTTTCTCCTATCACAGCCAATAAACTCTGTAACTGTTTTAAAGTCACCATTGGCCTTCTGAAATCCCTGAGTGGTTTCCTTCCTCTCCGGCAACTGAGTTAGGAAGGACGCCTGTATCTTTGTAGTGACTGGGTGTAATACACCATCCAAATTGTAATGAATAACTTCACTATGCTCAAAGGGATATTCAATGTCTCCTTTTTTTATTTTTTACCCATCTACCAATAGCTGACCTTTTTTGCGAGGCATTGGAAAACCTCCCTGGTCTTTGTGGTTGAATCTGTGTATGAAATTCACTGCTCGACTGAGGGACCATACATACAATTGTATGGGTGGGGTACAGAGATGAGGTAGTCATTCAAAAATCATGTTAAACACTATTATTGCAGTGACAATTTATTGTGTGACTTTTTAAGCAAATTTTTACTCCTGAACTTATTTAGGCTTGCCATAACAGAGGAGATAAATACTTATTGAATCAAGATGTTTCAGATTTTCATTTTTAATGAATTTGTAAAAATTTCAAACAACATAATTCCACTTTGACAAAAAATCTCAAATTTTACTCAGTTTGAATTTCAGGCTGTAACACAACAAAATGTGGAAGAAGTCAAGGGGTGTGAATACTTTCTAAACCTCTATGTGATCGGTGTCCCGTATACTGGACGGTTGAGCTAACGTGCACTAATGTGATTAGCATGACTGTTGTAAGTAACAGCAAACATAGACATGTCTTATATGGGCAGAAAGCTTAAATTCTTGTTAATCTAACTGCACTGTCCAATTTACAGTAGCTATTACAGTGAAAAAATACCATCCTATTGTTTTGAGGAGAGTGCACAACAACAACAAAATTATCACGGCAACTGGTTTGATACATTCACCTCTGAAGGTAAATAATGTACTTACATTCAGTAATCTTGCTCTGATTTGTCATCCTAAGGGTCCCAGAGATAAAATGAAGTATAGTTTTGTTTGATAAAATCCATTTTTATATTCAAATGTAGGAACTGGGTTCTACATACCAATTTGTAAGTCGCTCTGGATAAGAGCGTCTGCTAAATGACGTAAATGTAAATGTACAGTTTGAACCCCTGCTGTCTCTGGCTCCACACCCACCCCGCCCGGCCATCTAGATGTGTGAAAGTGTAAACTTACATTTTGTATTACCATATACTTTTTATATGTTCTCTATAGTTATGTACTTGAAAATGTATCAATTGACCAATTTGGCATATTTGGGCGGACTCAATCTGAAACTTTGCACACACACTGCTGCAACCTAGTGGCCAAAATCTAAATTGCGGCTAAACTGCAATACTATATTATGGCCTTTCTCTTGCATTTCAAAGATGATGGATAAAATTTTTTTTATTTACATAAGATGTATTTACATAAGTATTCAGACCCTTTGCTATGAGACTCGAAATTGAGCTCAGGTGCATCCTGTTTCCATTGATCATCCTTTGACTGTCGTAAATTCAATTGATTGGACATGATTTGGAAAGGCACACACCTGTCTATAATAAGGTCCCTCAGTTGACAGTTAGTGTATATGATAATGATCCATCATTACATTTTAGTCATTTAGCAGACGCTCTTATTCAGAGCGACTTACAGTTAGTGAGTGCATACATTTTTCATACTGGCCCCCCGTGAGAATCGAACCCACAACCCTGGCGTTGCAAGCACCATGCTCTACCAACTGAGCTACAGGAGGCCATGTATGACATTCCTGGGAGTGTGTAAACTTACATTTTGTATTACCATATACTTTTTATATGTTCTCTATAGTTACAGTGGGGAAAAAAAGTTTTTAGTCAGCCACCAATTGTGCAAGTTCTCCCACTTAAAAAGATGAGAGAGGCCTGTAATTTTCATCATAGGTACACGTCAACTATGACAGACAAAATGAGAAATTATTTTCCAGAAAATCACATTGTATGATTTTTTATGAATTTATTTGCAAATTATGGTGGAAAATAAGTATTTGGTCAATAACAAAAGTTTCTCAATACTTTGTTATATACCCTTTGTTGGCAATGACACAGGTCAAACGTTTTCTGTAAGTCTTCACAAGGTTTTCACACACTGTTGCTGGTATTTTGGCCCATTCCTCCATGCAGATCTCCTCTAGAGCAGTGATGTTTTGGGGCTGTCGCTGGGCAACACGGACTTTCAACTCCCTCCAAAGATTTTCTATGGGGTTGAGATCTGGAGACTGGCTAGGCCACTCCAGGACCTTGAAATGCTTCTTACGAAGCCACTCCTTCGTTGTCCGGGCGGTGTGTTTGGGATCATTGTCATGCTGAAAGACCCAGCCACGTTTCATCTTCAATGCCCTTGCTGATGGAAGGAGGTTTTCACTCAAAATCTCACGATACATGGCCCCATTCATTCTTTCCTTTACACGGATCAGTCATCCTGGTCCCTTTGCAGAAAAACAGCCCCAAAGCATGATGTTGCCACCCCCATGCTTCACAGTAGGTATGGCGTTCTTTGGATGCAACTCAGCATTCTTTGTCCTCCAAACACGACGAGTTGAGTTTTTACCGAAAAGTTCTATTTTGGTTTCATCTGACCATTTGACATTCTCCCAATCCTCTTCTGGATCATCGAAATGCACTCTAGCAAACTTCAGACGGGCCTGGACATGTACTGGCTTAAGCAGGGGGACACGTCTGGCACTGCAGGATTTGAGTCCCTGGCGGCGTAGTGTGTTACCGATGGTAGGCTTTGTTACTTTGGTCCCAGCTCTCCCGTGTGGTTCTGGGATTTTTGCTCACCGTTCTTGTGATCATTTTTTCCCCACTGGGTGAGATCTTGCGTGGAGCCCCCGATCGAGGGAGATTATCAGTGGTCTTGTATGTCTTCCATTTCCTAATAATTGCTCCCACAGTTGATTTCTTCAAACCAAGCTGCTTACCTATTGCAGATTCAGTCTTCCCAGCCTGGTGCAGGTCTA